ATTTGAATCCGAGGGGGTATGAGGCGTTGGCTAGGGCTTTTCCTGTGGAGTTATTGGATTAATTTGGGTGGGGAGAGGGTGATAGGTGGAATAGATATTTTATTATGTCAATTCATTGACTGATTTAGCTACTACTAACTAACCAGCTAGCTAGATATTAATTAAGTTCGTTCACATACTCATGCTCGTTTTGCATCATACTCATACAAGATCTTCCTTCTCTCTAAGAAGAGATTGGTTTAGTATCCCCGCAGACTGCGACGACGGGGCACACTGCGCTTGAGGGAGACACCGGCCTCAGCGGCATCAGCGTAGGGACCAAAGTCCGGGGATCCACCGAGGGTACCGAAGATATCACCGATGTAGTTGCTGGGGGTGATACCGGCAGCGAAAGTGGCGTTCCACTGGCTAATGATACCCTCGACGATCTTGACACCGGCGTTGTAGATGTTCTGGACGGAGGGCTCGTAGGCACCAGTAGAAGCGTAGAGGAGGTTCTCGCGGGCCGACTCGCCAGGGTAAGGGCGGTCGAAGTCCGAGGCAGTACGCATGACGATGATACGAGAGAAGTCGACGAGCTTAGCCTTAGCAGCACGGACCATGGCCTCGAGGGTGGCGTTGTCCTCCTGGGCGGAGGCGCAGTAGGTACCGGTACCGTTGGTCAGGACCTTAGTAGTGTTGGCGAAGGTATCGCCGAGGATGTTACCGGAGTAGTAGACGTCGCTGGTAGCGACATCGCACTGGACGACGGAGGGGGCGGAGGCACCGGCAGCGTAGATGCCGTCGGAGGTGTTGTAGTTAGCGCGGTAGGCCTTGGCGGCGTCGGAGTCCGCGAGGGTGGCCTTGCTGGCGAAAGCGGCGGCAATCTGGCGCAGGTTGTCGTTGACTTCGAAGACCTCGGTGCCGTAGATGCTGCCGGGGTATTGCCAGGGGTAGTAGGCGCCCTGGGGGAAGTAGCCGGTAGTGGCGTTGGGGGGCATTTCGCGGATGTCGATCTCGTACTGCAGAGCGACCTGGACGGCGTAGCGGGCCAGAGTCACACCGCAGATGGTGGCCTGCTCGGGGTTGACGCCGGCGATACCGGCGATCAGGAAGTAGGTGTTGGTCAGGTCGAAGATGGGGTTGAAGATGATGGAGGAGACAGTCACGGCCGCGTTGATCTCGGCTTCACCGGTGACCAGCTGGCAGATGTTGTGGTCGGCGGTGCAGTGCACGTCCGGGAAGAGGGGAGAAGCTCCCGGGATGGTGATGTTGTGCTCGAGCACGTTGAACTCGGGGATACCCCACCAGATAGCGGCTTCGGGTTCGAACTGGGTGTTTGTTAGTATATGGCAGCATTCATGGTGGGGTTGGGTTAGGGTGATAGATGAGGGTGGGCTACCATGGAGACAATGAAGACCTTGGGAGCGATCTTGTCAGTGGACTGGCGCGCGGCGATGTTCTTGGCCGCGGGGACGGAGCGAGCCGCAGCAAGGGAGGACAGGCAGCTGCTGGCGAGCAGCAGGCCCGTGGAAACGGATTGAAGGAGCTGCATGTTGTGTGCGATGGTGGTCGAGTGCACAAGTTGTGGCTGCAATGGCTGGATGGTGAGAGCGATGTTGGGGAAGACCAGCTTTATAGCTTGCGATTGAGGTCTTTCTGTTCTGCGTATCAACAGCGTAGCTATCGGGATTTGGCCATTGGGTGGTTTAGTCGACCCACCGTCGCGTGCTAAATGCCCACATTGTTGTAAAACTCTGCCCGGGAGACGGGCTGATTAGGAAGGATTTGCATTGAGAGCGGAGAGGGTAGCATTGGTGCCTGCCAGAAAGCCAATGATCGGCAATCCATTCCGTACGAACCGAGCCGGTTGCTGCGGTGCGTTTAGTTGGAATAGTTAGTTTAGTGCTGTTCTCCACCCGGCTGAAGAATGGGACGCGATTGAGTAGCTGAGTTTGCCGCGGACGTTTTCCATTTTTCCTCTAGCTGTCAATGGATACAGAGATCATCGGTAGACTAAGGTATGGCATACAGCAGATAGATGCCATCAATCATTTCCTGTTCCTGAATGTTGTTCCCACCACACGAGAGGAAATTCCCCGTGGTACCACGGGACGGAGCCAAGAGCTAACGCAGGAACAAAACAACCACCAAAAGGCAAAACATGGGAAAAGATAGCAGAGAGATAAGCGGGGAGCCGGCCGATAACCATCGCACCACCAATATCGCGCAATTTAATTAACTTAGATTGCCTTATCGCTCACCGGCCTATCAACGGCGCCATTAGTGCCGGAGTGGAGGGATTCCACCGGATTTCTCCTCTCCATCATGCTTCCCGATGCTTCCATTGCTGCACCTAGGCAATTGATCCAAATCCCTATGCAGATATGGTGACATCGCGCATGTCCTCAGCCGTAGCTGAGTTCATTTTTTATATGAGAAGCTGAAGTTCAGATCCCGATGAATAGAGTTGTGAAGGTGTTGGGGCTGCAATGGAAGGAAGATGAGGGCACGAGGCAGGGCACGTGCGGGGCTGCGCCCAGCTGAAGAACTTTCCGATCACCACCACGGCACTCTCCACCTCGTTGCATTCAGACCCCGTAGGGCGTACTGATTAGATGGATGAGTTACTAATGAGGAAGAGATCATAGCCGGGTGTGAATCTGCATTATTTGCACGTTATCTTATTCCTTGGCAGTATTACTATCGCCATTGCTAGTGTTGCTAGTAGGAGTACCCCGAAGAAATATATATCTTGGACAGTACAGGTAAGTATATGATGATAGGAGATCTCCGGGAGGGTAGTACTAGCAACATCAGTCCAGGTAAACCACTGGATACCACTCCTGGTATTCATCTCCTAATCTAGTGCACGGCTAGTCCACTTCCAAGGAGCTATTACTGTCGTCTAGTCAATGACATCTTCATCGATCCAACTAAGCATTCGTTAAAATTCTATCCGGAATTCTACTTCGAGCATCACCATTCCGACAAAACATCATGAATGTCGCTTGTCACCCGTACAAACACTACATCGACATCGTAGAATACTATGGTGGGAGATAAAATGCCAGCAGGCTATGTACAGTTGTTCATCTCGCGTGGGTAATTGCTTGCTGCCGCGGCCATAAACATCTCGCTCCTTCCTGGTCGCAATGTCATGTCCGTGGAATCTTTCCTACTACATTCCCGCTCAGACTCTCATGCGAGGCTTTCCATACCTGATTATAGCTGGATCGCTGGGAAAAGACACCAGGCATCTTCGTTGATAAAATAAGAACAGTCATATCCCTTGACAAGACAGTCAATCCATTTAGTACCCCAAATGCAAGAGGAATGTCAGTCTCTAGGGCCTACTAAGCAATACTCACATCATATTCGCCGGCCTTGGGAATCTCCTGGGCTTCATTGACCCAATCATCGCCAATACACCAGTGGTTTGCCCAGACAAGGCTTCTCGTTGGTCGGCTCTCATTCCATTCCTTTCCTATCATGCCACTCGGGTGAATATTCCGAACATATGCTGATCACCACCCAATGAAATAAGCAATCCAGCCGAGCATTCTGGAATCCAATTGTCAGCCAGTTGGCGTCTGTCACGAAGCCTACGGAGTGTTGGTATACCGTCACGTGATCTAAACACGCCGACCATCCGTGGACTCGAGCAGGAATGCATCGTCCCTTGCCAGCTTGCGACCGTGATGCCACTTTGGTAAATCCCAGGGTCCAATCGTCTGATCGATCAATCCGACCGAGATGGTTCCACCGGCAGCTCACAGATTCTAGAAGACGGAGGATCTTCTAGGGATCCCACCGATCGCTGCGAGTTTATTGAAGTTAAAGCTGGCCCCAAACTCAGTTTTCGAAACTGACTCGCCGGGATCGCTCCACATGGCAAGGGTATGATGAGTGCTGTCTTAGACAGTTTCGGTCGAGTGGAGGTTATTCCTGACCGGACTCCATCCCCCTTCCTCCATACAGGTCCGACGCGAAGCCATGCTGACGTGGACGGCAGGGGATCTCACATTGCGCGGTCAGATCTCCGACGATCTCCTCCACCAAGAACGGTCTTGGTGGAGATGCTGCACTGCTGCTACAAATACATTGGCCTCCCTTGCCGTGGCTGCCTTGGCCGATCCAAAGCAATGTCAGATGCTTGGCGGCAGCAGACCTCAACGGCCTCGTACGACCTCGGAGCGGAGTGGCAGGTCGCGGGTTGATCCATGGAGCAGCTGGGATGATGTCGGGCTGCCGAGAGACGGTCGGAACGTTATTGAGCGATGATGCTCCCGGGTGTGAGAGGGGATGCCATGGTCATCAGGCAGAGCCGCAGGCGTCCTCTTATTCGGACAATTTCCTTCAACCCTGAACAGCTCTAAGTCACAAAGGGATTATATACCCCAGCTGCGGCGTGCCACCGTGTGAGTTGACAGGAAATCCGCGTAACAGGTCAACGTCAGCTTTGATGACTTCGTCACACCGATCGTTCTTGTCCGTGAGAGGATGGCATGAAAGAGCCGCTCCATGCGATCACATTCCACCGCTGAAGATTACGCTGGACGCGAAGCCCAACTGCAGTATCTCCACAAGTGGACAAAGGGCCCTCTCTAAATGGGAAATGCAGCAATGGGCAGCAGCTGCACCGGAGGAGTCAGATGCAGCAGAGAAAGCCGCGTCATCGTCAGCTGCGAGATGCTCCCGTGCGCCTGCCGATCGCGGGAAATGAGTCCGCATCTGCTGTGTCCATGACCTTATTCCTAAAGCGAATAATTAGGCCAGACGTAGGGATAAAGCATTGGGGGGAGGGGGAAAAGGGAAGGAGAGAGTCAACTGGCCGATGTCATCGGGAAACGACGTCATCCACGTGGGGTTGAACTGTGACGTCACCCTCCCGTCTCCCTCCAACTTGTTGGCTGTTATACTCTTTCCTTTTTATCTTTCTATCTTCCCCCTTTCTTCTGCTGGCATTGCATCGCATCGCGTCGCATCCTGGACCCTGCATCGCCGATTTGTTCTGCCACCCGTTAGGATACCCCTTAGACGAATTACCCCCGACCGGCTCATTCAGGTGAGCTTACATGACAACCGCTATCAGCTAGATACCCTCAACTAATCCCTCAGTAGTCACCCACGAAAGTCTAATCGGGAACCACAAAGTCGGATCCAAAGAAACAACATCAGCTCAGCTCGGATTCACCGAAAATGGTCGGCTCCATACACGAACGCATCCGCGAAGACCTTATCGGCAAGGAGCGTCGTCTCTGGACGGCGCTCACCTCCGCTGACCCGGGGCCCGAGATCAAGAAGATGTGTAACGAAGAGGCCAACCTTCTTTTTCCGCAGCGCGAGGTTCTGCACCTGCACTCGAAGCCGTCAATCAGCGAGGCGCTGAAGCCACCCTTCCATCACTTCGACGAGTACGAATTGCAGGAGGTGCGCGTGATCGTCATCGACCTGATGGCTGGGTCAGTAACATACAAGATAAATGCGCGCCGCGGAGAAGAGACGTACCGCGGCACCGGGTCGACTACATGGAGCCAGGGAAGTGATGGAGAGTGGCGGATTGTGGTGCATCAGGAGACATTAATGTGATGAGACGAGATCAATTGAGATTCAGATGCAGGGGGGCAATATGGAAAGTGGCAGTGACAGTAGGGGATGGATGGAATGAACGAATCATGATTTGTTTTGATGCACTCTGCTGATGAATATTCCTTTTCTTGTTACATTATTTTATTGAGTTTTTTCGTTGGACCCTGCGTTTCCATTCAGGGGTTGAATATCCCTTGGCATTGATTGTGATTGCGTGGATGTATGAATGTGGCTGGCTGACATCAGACGGACAACGGAGTTTGAATCAGACAAGACTCTGACATTAATTTCCACGCAGATCATCCCCATCCATTAATCAATAGCATAACACAACATAACATAGTTCCCATTTTCATATGATAGTATTCCAATCCCTCCTTACCCAAAGAAAAGCAAACACAACACAACATCAGACAAATCAACAAAAGAAAAACAAACCAAAAGATAAAAGAAGAAACACCAGAAGATCGACAAAGTTCACAACCATAAGGCTACCCAATCCACCCCAGTGGGACCAATAGTAACTGCATCATTATTGGCCCTAGTTTCATCGCGGTAAGAAGAAAGTGGAGCTTAGCAGCATGTTTTCTTCTGTAGGGCGAGGGTGGCAGTGTGCAGATTGCAGCTGAGCACGCACCAATTTTTTTTGCACTGCACGGCGACTCCGTGTTCATGCATGCAGTAGCCAACTAACTAACTAGCTAGCTAGCTAGTTAGTAGTTTGTTAGTTAATTATTCTTGTTGCTTTCTTATTCTTGCTTACTACTACCTACTGGAATACGATAGCAGAGACCACTTACTATCTTAGGTAAGGATCTGTCGATCAGGGTGTGTAGTTCCTGTCAGGGTCTAGAACTTTGTGCTGGTTTGCTCACTGCGAATACAATTTGTTAGAATCATTAAGGTTTGCAGAGTGAAACAAACCACGTACCGAATACTACTTAAGATCTGATCTGACGTGAGGAGTAAGTAAATAAGCATAAGGCAACCAAATTACATTTGTTTCGTTATAATTTCATTATGATTGCTTAGGTCAGATGGAAGTTACAGTAAGAAAGTAGCGAGTTACTCTATCGGTCAAAAACATGTTACCTGTCAAGTAAGTACTAAGTAGTACTCCGTAGAATGAATGAAAATCTAACCACTCAATTTCCATTTCCCTTCTTGGTAATGTAGTATATAATAGTATATGTACCACGCAAGTTGCGATATGTATAGTAGGAAATAAATGTCGGTTTCCCCACTTTGGAAAATTCAATAAACAACACAGCCCCCCTTTCTTCCATCCTTTCTTTCCTTGCACTTTGATCCCGAAAATGATTTCCATCCCATCCCTCCCATCCCATCCAATGTAATCCAACAACAACTCTCACCCACACAAAATTAGATACCAGAAGGGAAATCGAACAAAACCAGAGATAGTAAACGAACAAAAAAGGGAATTTGTGAACAGTCAAAGAAAAAACATAAAAAAAATGATTAAACACCATTAGCAAACCCATCACCACCAGCCTCAGTATCAACCCTCACCGAATCCATCAGCCCACAAACCTCAAACAACTTCTTCGGCCCCATACCCTCCGGCAACCCAACGACACCATCCTTCTTCAGCCTCTCCAGAGCAGCCGTAATGCCCATATAAGCCGGAGTAATGCAAGCGAACGAGAAGATCATAATACGGAAGCCCATCTCCTTAGCCTCATCAACGGAAATAACCGGCCCAGCCCCGTTCTCCACCATGTTAAGCAGAAGCGGCCAAGGCGCAAGGTCCTGCACACACCGCCTCGCCATCTCCTTACTGGTGAAGCCCTCAAGGAGACCAACATCGGCGCCAAGATCGCGGGCGGCCTTAAGGCGACGAATGCACTCATCGTAGCCGTGCTGCTGGAGGGCGTCAGTGCGGGCAATCAGCACGATGTCGCTGCGGAGGCGGTCCTTGGTGAGCTTGGCGGCGCGGAGACGAGTCAAGTATTCTTCCATGCTGACGACGCGCTTGCCTGCCAAGTGACCGCATCGCTTGTTTTGGATCTGGTCTTCGATATGGAATCCCGCAACGCCGGCCTGGATGTATTGTTGAACGGAACGAGCGACCATAAGGGGGCCTATATTGTTTTTATTTTTGGTGGTTAGTGGGGAAATTGGGTCTTATATTGCCGTTTTGCTTTTTGGAGCGGGTAGATCATTATGTCTTGGCGGACGGTGGGGATAGATGGAAGTTTTAGGGGATTATGGGGATTTTTTTCTTGCTCACCTCCGTAGCCAGTGTCCATGTCAGCGATCAGGGGAGGACCGTAGGGGTCCAGGTTCGCGATCATCTCCGCGTTGGTCTTCATGTCGTAAATGTGGGCTAGACCCAGATCGGCCATACCCAGTCTAGACGCGGTAGTGCCGGCACCGGTCTAAATACCCTTCCGTTAGTATGATCTTTGTTTGTCGGAAGCGGAGAAGTGTGTGTTGACTGATTGCGGGGAAGAAGTAGAAGTAGAAGTCAGGATAGACATACCATGTACATGCCCTTGAAGCCCATGTTGATGGCGATACGGGCGGACAGACCGTCGTAGACACCGGGACACACGATCAACTCATCAGACTCGCGAAGCTGCTTACGCAGCTTGCTAGCACCAGTGACCATGTTCAGGTTGACCACGGGCTCTTGACGGGTACCGTTGATCTCATAGATACCGTCCTGCTCAACGGTGATGGTGATAGTGTTGGTCATGCTGATGGTGGAAGCAGAATCGGGGGTATCAACTTTCATTGCGAAGGGAAAAACCACAAGGTATATATAGGTGGGAACAAGGAGAGTTTTATCCCTTGGAAAGTGGAGAGTTGAAGATAGGAGAGAAAGAGGCTTGATGAGGATGGAAGAAACCAAAGGAAGTGCCAGAAGATGACCAGTTTATATAGACGTGTCGGGAGAAGATCATCCCGCCAGCAACCAATATTCATTACCTGAGAAGATCATTTTGAGAATTGTTTTTTTCCCAATACTTCTTTTCTTTCTGTCTGCAACATTCCCCTCCTGGTGGATTGCAACGCAAGCCCTTGGCCGAGAATCATCGTCAATCCACACAAACGCACGTACACCCTACTCCGGTGAACGAACCATTGCCATTCAATTTTCTTGGCCACCATCCCAGCGCCGAGAAAAGAAAATAAAATGGTCAATCGACGCCATCGGCGGACTATGATTTGTGCCTGTGACAAGTCGAAAAATGTCCGAATGCAATGCAGCAGGGGCCTAGATAAGCTCCCCCCCTCTTTTTTCTTTTTATTATTTTAATATTATTATTGGTATATTATTCGCATTTTTGTTTTGCCGGCCCCCCCTTCTCCGTACATAGGTTAATGACCAGTAAATCGCCAAATCTAGTAAAGATGGGGCTGGCTGGACCGCCACCGCGAGGGGAGTTAAGAGACATACTCCGCGCGTAGTTTCAGATTACGCGCGCCGGTGATGGCAGGATTGATTGACTAGGTGATTTCCTGATTAGGTCAGGTCAGGGGAGAATGAGGGAGGGGGTGTCGAGTGTAAGATGAAGCCAGACAGATTTGGCCCGTACTTTAGGCCACGCCGACAGTGCATGGACAAGACGCATCGATTCAAATCGATGCGGTGGCACACGAGCACGAGTTCCTCGGTAGCCGCGGGCTCCAGTATACTGCAGTTGCTGCATGTCAGACGCTTTTGCTCATCACGCACGGGGCCCGTTGTTCTTCACCCAGCTGAAATAGACAGCAGCCTAGCCAAGTCGCATTGGCAGAGGAGGGATGGAGGGGAGGGGAGAGTAAGTTTGGTGGCCAACTGAAAGCCAGCGAGCAATCAACCTCCGGAGTTCGCCAGCTGGGCGAGTAATGGGATGAATCGGGCGTGATTGGCGCTTGGCCGAGGAAGCAGATCTGCACCGATAGACTGCCAGGGCTCGGCTGATGCGCCGGAAGTTAAACGGCATCCCACCCACGGAGTCACTGTTGGGGATTGCCGGCGGCAGGGCGGATTCTAGCACGCCTGCTGAATGGCGGAGAAACCGGAGCGCATTGGCTCCCGGGACTTATCGCGGATGAGGTGAGAGAGGGGGTGATGGAGGTTAGTGATGATGAGATAGGCAATAGTGCATGGCTGACCAGCCGACGGAGAAGCCGATGGAGAGACCAAGGACCCAGATGGACGAGATGGACCAGGGCAGCAGCTGCAGTGCGGACTCTCATCGCCGACATTAAGTGCGTCTCTGTTGCTGCATGCTGCAGAGCCAAGTATCTTGGCAACCTGGGGGGACAGAAAATTAATACTGGAGGCGATAGTCTCGAGTCCAGCCCCGGTTTTACTGGGGACTGAGTGATGGATCTGGCAGCGCGGTTGGCTCTTGCACACGTCTAGTGATTTCTTAGGTAGTGGTTGTGTTCTCTTTCCCCATCCTTGGTTTCGAAAGGGTCATGGTCACTCCGCATGTTGCCTAGAAATGTGCTCATGGCCTAGAATGTATTTACTCTCCGGTCAGTGCGGTGATCAAGGACCCCGATGTGTAACCCATGAATACCGAAGAGGAAAGGGAAGAGGAGAGCTGAGGAACATTTCGGACCCGGCTGGGTGGTGCCGCATGGTGAAACTGACGACGCGGGTCCGACACAGCAAGCAGTCCGACAAGTCCCCTGCCTAGCAGATCGGATGCAGAGAGGAAAAATAAACCGCCACGACTATTGGAGCTGCAGAATGGAAAAGGATTGATCGATAGATAGGTAGGGCCGGACTAAGCCGGGAGTAGTATAGGGGGGGAGGGGAGTGAGAAGAACAAGGGTAAGGGAAATAGAGAGAGTGTGAGTGAGTGAGTGTCTGTGTGGTGAGGCGCAAGTCAGCCGATTGGCGGAGAAGAGATCCAGTTTGGGAGGTTCAAGGGTAGTAGTGAAGCAGTCTGATTAGTTACTTAGATTGGGTGAATAATGACGAGAGAGAGAGAGGGAGAGAGAGAGGAGGGGGTAGACTGGACGACCAGCATAGTCCGAGAGGGAAAAGAAAAGACAGGCAATGATAGTCGTGGCTGACTTGGCTAGAGACTCCAAAGACGGCGGATAGAGAGGCTAGCTCGTCACTTCGATAGCACTAGAGCTCTCGGTCCAGTTGTTAGTTGAGTTAGGTCGAATCTAGTGCTGTAGGGAATCAGCCCAAGCCCGACAGCGGCTCCGGATTCGCCCGGCTTGGCCCCTCTGGGCGATCGGTAGAAGTTTGGGGGGGATTTTAGGAGAAAGGGATAGCGGCCTGGTCTTGGAATCTTGGAACGAAAAAGAAAAAAAAAGGTTTGTGAAGGTTTTGCTCTGAGGGTCTGCGGCCCACGCGGGCCCACGGTTGCGGTTTGTCTTAAAGCTGGCGAGCTCTTCAATTTCCACGCGTCTGTCAGCCTGCCTTTTCCCGCTTCTTTCCTGCTCCGAGCGTGCTGATTGAGAGGCTGACAGACAGACACAGTAAGAAAGAAAGAAAGAGACTTTCACATTTCTTTTTCTGTTGCTGTTGTTTCTGCATCTCTGCTTGGGCCCTTTCTTGCTCTGTTTTCTTCCCTCCAACCCACCAGTGCAGCAGCCTAATTCTCAGCCTTTGAAACCATGGAGGACAGTAAAGGTGCTAGCCCAATGGTTAGCTATGTTAGGGCTGAGATCAATGTCAAATATGCGGATTTGTTGTTGCTGGTCTGTTGTTTCTGTTCGGGTTTGCTTGACAGTACCATGTACAATGGTGAGTCACTCTCCTTCTCTCTCTCTCTCCACTCTCTCTATCCCTTTCCTCCACACCTATTCTTGTCTTTACCCCATCAATCTCCATAAATCCCCATAATTCATAATAATGGAACCATACTTACACTCTCCCCCACAGCCTACAATACTTTCGTTTCCATGCAAACAGGAAACACCATTTTCGTGGGGTTGGGTGCCTCGCAGCAGGATAGCCGACCGTACGACTGGGCGCGATCCTTGACGGCCATCGGCTGTTATGCGATCGGCAGCTTCATTTTCTCCCGCATCAACAACTTTCTCGGCCCCAAACGGCGCGGCACTCTGGTCGCCTGTTTTCTGCTGCAAGTTGTACTCGTCATCATCGCTGCGGCTCTCTCTCAGAGCCATGTCATCGCCGGTGACCTAGCCGACGCCCACTCTACCACGTTCGTCACCCACTGGAGCCAAGAGGCCGTCATCGTCCTGCTCAGTATGCAGTCCGCGGGCCAGACCGTCGCCAGTCGTGTGTTGGGCTACAACGAGGTGCCGACCGTGGTGATTACCAGTCTGCTCTGTGATCTGATGATGGATCCCAAGCTGTTCCTGCTGCGCAATGAGAAGCGCGACCGTCGTGTCATCGCCTTCATCCTGACCCTGGTCGGTGCCATCGCCGGTGGATGGATCAGCAAAGCCACGGGCAACATCTGGGCAGCCCTGTGGATTATCGCCGGTCTCAAGTTCTGCATGTCCGTTGCTTTGTCCTTCTGGCACGTCAAATAAGTTAATAGATAGCTCTTTTTTCCCTTCTTCTTTTTTTCTTTCCCCCTCTTGACATTTTCACTTCTTGTTCTGCTTCGTTAGCCATCACTTCACATTAGACCGTTCTGCTTTCACTTCCATTCTGCCACACCCACACATTCATCGGGGCTAAATTATCCGGCACCCACGAAGCCCGGAAATACCTCTCCAAGACGACCCCTCGTAGGTCTGATCATCCACACAATAATCCCCGCCAGACGGGCCGATATGCGCACAATGTACATCCGGATTTAACCTGACCATATTATCATGTACCTCCCGACACAGCAACGTATTCCTCCCCATCTCGTATGGCTGCCCGAAGCGAATCTTCTGCGTCAGAAACACATAGCAGTCCTGCATAGACGCATACTGCCGATTCGTACCTAGACAATACTCTACTTCAGTTCGACAAATCGTCCTGGCAAACAAATCCGCCACTTTCGATCGAACCTCCGTTTCGTTAGTCGTGTGGAACTTACGCCCCGCAGCTTGAAGAATCTGCACGAATAGCCATTCCAGCCATCGGAAGACAGCGTCGTACTGAGTGATTTGTCCAGCCGAGTTAAATTCGAACCAGGCGGTGATTACCCCCGGAATGATCAGGTCGAACGTGCTGATGTTGAAAGTGAGGACAACGGTGGAGGCGATGGTGTTTTGTGTCGCTGCGAATTCGGTGATATTGTAGGAAATGGGGACACCGAAGATGCTGGGGTGAGTGGGTTGAGAGAAAAGACCGAAGATATACTCGTTGTTGAGGTCGCGGTTGGTGAAGGTGCGGGTCACGTCGACGCGGCCTTGGACCTGTAGCTACTTAGGATGATTGTGAAAAGGGATGATCGGGTATGTGATGTGAGGGAAGTAAGTACATTGTCGGAGAAGATGGAGGTGTCGTTGGGATTGACATGGGCGGTGTTGGCTGGGTAGAGGAAGTTGTCCCAGAAGTGAGTGGTGAGGAACCAGAGTTGGTCGACGGTGTAGCTGGTGGTGAGGGGGAGGAAGGTGAGGAGTTGTAGGAGTAGTAGGTAGTAGTACATGATGGTGACTTCAATCGGATATAGTCCAATTTTATAAACAATGTCATTCCAGCTACTACTAGAGGTAAGTACTACTATAGAAAATCGTAGCAGCCTGTTATGGTGGCAGTGTAATAGGCATCAAGCAGAACTATATATATCGGACGGCACACGGTACCCATTCTTCATGCAGCATCTAGGCACCAAGATAGATCCCTGTCTCTGCAGCAGTAGCTACAACTAGTTTATCATCCTCAATGTCGGACGAAGCCTGTTACATGGCGACCAAGAGATGGGAAGGACAGACGGACTGTCACCATGTGCAAGATCCAAGCGATGGCTGATATGTCTGCACGGGGAGTCAGGCTGATGGAAGCTGGCTCACGAGCTGACCCACCAATAATGGCCCGCAAAACGAGTCATCCCGCGACCCCTCCCATATCGGCAATGATAAGCCTTATAGGGTAATCTACTGCGTGGGTGCCACCACGTTGGCCACTCGGCAGACAGACTTCACCACTACTCTATGATTCCGCGGCAATTGGACCCTTCTCTTACCGAACAAAATGACTACTGAAGCACTATCACACCGATCAACCTGTCACTTGCCCTTCTTGTAATTTCCCCGCATCGCAACTCGGAATAGTTCCGGGGGACGGAACTCTCCGGAATTCAATTCGGGTATACTTATAGTTAGTCACAGATGCATATCTTGCTTTTTCCCCGACAAAAGTATACAAAAAGCAAATCAACATACAAAATGGCTACCGTCACCCTTACTGGCGCCAAAGGCCGCCAAATCCAAGGTACTATACTCTCCCACCCCCACCCTGTCTAGAATTCTCTCTCCTAACAGCACAGTCCCCACCACCCTCTTCATCAACAATGAATTCACTCCGGCCTCCACCAACGAGACCCTGACCATCGAGAACCCCTCCACCGGCACCCCACTCGCAACCGTCTCCTCCGCCAGCCCAGCGGACATTGACCGCGCCGTGCATTGCGCCACACAAGCCCTCCCCGCATGGAAAGCCACTCCGGGCGCCATCCGCGGCGCCCTCCTGCACAAACTCGCCGATCTGATCGAGCGCGACGCGGAGGACATCGCATCCCTTGAAGCTTTGGAAGGCGGGATGCTCTACACGGACAGCAAGGCCATGACCATGCCCCAAGCCATTTCCACCCTCCGCTACTACGCCGGCTGGGCCGACAAGATCGATGGCAAGACGCTGCATCTCCCTGACGGCGGAGTGGGGTATACTTTCCGCGAACCACTAGGTGTTTGTGCCGCCATTGTCCCCTGGAATGCGCCTCTGTATGACTCCGCCCCCATACCCTAACCCACCAACCAACTAATACCTTAGTTTCACAGAATGATCACAATCTGGAAACTCGCCCCTGCCCTAACAGTGGGAAACTGCCTCATCATCAAACCCTCCGAACTAACCCCCCTGTCTGCCCTAAAACTCGCCCTCCTCATCCGCGAAGCAGGCTTCCCCGCCGGCACAGTATCCATCCTGCCCGGCGACGGCGCCAAAGCCGGCAACGCTCTCTCCACGCACCCAGCTATCCGCAAACTCTCCTTCACGGGATCTACTGTCGCCGGGCGCGCCATCCTGCACGCCTCGGCATCCAGCAACCTGAAGAAAATCTCCCTCGAGCTGGGGGGTAAAGGCCCCTCAATCGTATTCTCAGACTGTGATCTAGCCAATGCGCTGCTGTGGACGCGTATCGGGATCACGGCAAATAACGGACAGATCTGTGCGGCGGGGTCGAGGATCTATGTCCAGAGGGGGATTTACGAGAAATTCTTGGAAGAATATGCGCGGTTGTCTAAAGAGGACAAGCCTGTGATCGGGGATGCGTTGGACGAGAGGACTACTAAGGGACCCGTGTCTAGTGCGGCGCAGTTGCAGAAGATCTTGGGGTATGTGGAGGAGGGGAAGAAGAGAGGTGTGAGGCTGTTGTTTGGGGGAGAGAGGATTGGGGAGAAGGGTTATTTCGTCCAGAATACGGCGTTTGCGGATGTGGGGCAGGGGGAGAGGATGATGAAGGAGGAGATTTTCGGACCGGTTGCTGTATGTTCCTTCCTCCCCTTTTCTTTTACTATCTACCTTCCACTTTTTTTGTGTTTGAGGTGGATGGGTGCTAACGAGAACAGTGCATCGCCCCCTTCGACACAGAAGAGGAGGCTATCAAGCTGGCAAACGATACTGCGCACGGACTCAGCGCCGCTGTCTTCACTAACGATGTGAACCGCGCACATCGCGTCACAGCAGGTATCGAGTCTGGACAGGTCACTGTGAACGCATGGGCGATGCTAGCATCGAATATGCCGTTCGGAGGAGTAAAAGAGAGTGGATTTGGACGGGACATGGGAGAAGAGGCATTGGAGGGATGGACGACGGTCAAGGCGGTTAAGTATAACATTCTGCCTCCTGCGGCCGCGAAGTTGTAACTTACATAGTGGCGTGTTTATGATTATAATAAATGACAATAATGTAAATGAGGGAGAGGGAGTTAATGCAAATAAAAAGGATCATTCGAGTACCGCTTATACAGTTCCGGATACCATTTCTTCCCGACGTCGGGGTGACTGATGATTCGATTGCGGAGGTAGGCTTCGCCGAACTAGACTCAACATCAACATTTAGCAACTGATGCCTCTACATAGCGATATCGTAGCAATGATGATGGAGGGGGAACATACGCAATCGAACCTGTCGGAAAGAAACTCACTCGGCACATCTTCGGTTCTTCTCTTCATCTCATCCTCATCGGACCACTGCCCCACAGGAACCTTCTCAACGATATGTCTCGCCGAATCACGCAGATTGGCCAACGTCAAGTCCATCCGTATCCCCATGAAAAAGGGAATACTGTATCGCGTTGTATTCTTCGGTGCCTTTACCCATCAACATCATCCCATCAGCCGGAGTACATAAGTAAATAAGGGGAAAGGAATAAGACATACAACAACCCTATGCACCGTCGCACTACAAACACCCCCCGTGATCGCCTCGAACCCCTGCTGAATATTCACCACTAGTGCACCCTCATCTTCCAGCGGGGGGACATCGATCCAGTCGCCGCGTTTATTAAGGACTTGTAATCCACCCGTCGTATCTTGTGAGAGGAAGGTGAATAGACCGGTTGAGTCTTTATGCGGCCCTACGCCTTGGGATTTGCCTTCCCCGGAGGAGGAGGGTTGAGGCGGGTATTTGATGAATTTGAGTCTGTCCATGGTTCCCCTGTACGTGTCGAAGGTTGTCGGCGGGAGAGAGAGGGATTCGGCGACGTAATGGAGGAAGGTGTTGCTTAATGGGATGAAAGAGGTTATGTATTCTTCTACGAGGGATTGGGTAGCTGGTGTGGGGTATTGGTTTTGGCCTTCGAGACGGGACCAGATTGGTGCTGTTTGGTTGTTGGAGGAGGGAAGGTTGGGGGTGCCAAAATCGAATTGCTAGTTGGGTGGGTGGTATGTTAGGGTATCTGTTGTGAGTGAATTGGGACCAAGGAGGGAGGGGTAATACTTCTCGCATGTCGGTTTTGAGTGCGGTGGTTTCGGCTCCGAGACGCGTGTAGCCTAGGAAGGAGGGCGAGTTGATCATGTTGATTTGTTCTTTGGTTTCGGGTGGGAGGGAGAAGAGGTCTGGGAGGGCGGCGTGGGCGCGTTTGGTGAGGGACTGTAGTGGTTGTTCTTTAGTATATTGTGGAATATGGGCGCTGGTGGTGGTTGGCTGCGGCTTACTTCCAGTCCATGGTTCGTGAGATACAGGAACCCTACGAGGAAGATGGCGTCGCGGAGCTGGGCGAGGGTTTCTGCTTTGGTTTCTGGGTCTTGAAGACGCTGAAAGTCGATGACGGGAACGGAGGTGAAGTTCGACATTGTGATGGAGATGGAGATGGCGATGTTGGTGATGAAGTGGTGAGGGGAAGTGAGGGGAAATGGACGGATGTCATTGTTGGCGCTGAGTAATAAGGTGATGGTCTACTGCCGATGCAGATGGCGTGATCTGACTGACTGTAAACATGGCTATATTACAGTGAATGTGAAGGAAATGAAGGCAATTGATGCTGATGGTTTTCGTCTTTTCACTTTCTGAAGAGGGAAATCTGGATTGTCTTTGCAAATGAGTTGGTTTCTATGGAAAACTGTTGGTTGGTCAAGATGGCTTACAGCTCAGACTTGCTAACAGAACTAGTAGCTACTCATTAGGCAAGCTGGAAGAAAGCTACAGGAAAAGAGAGATAGCTGAAAAGACGGCATTGATCTCAGTACCCGGCTTAATCTCGGTAATGCCCTCATGTTGACACCACTATTCTAGCGATGTGCACCTCCACGCCCTCAATCTATCAGAAGCACTACTATGCTTTGCCACTTCGGCTGTTATGCGAAATGACCGCATCGCATATATTACTTCCAGACAAGAGGTGGAAGAATTAAGCAAGCGTCTTCAGCCGCCGTGATGTCAAGTATCCAAAGAGACTGGGTCATAACCCTGCATCCTGCATACCTTCGTCGCCTCCGGTCTTGCCGACGAAATGCCAACTAATTAAGACGACCTCCAATCGACACACCTAGACCATGCACATGATATCTTAGCTGCCTCACATATTTACCATAGGTGGAGAATCAGAGTCACTAAAGAACAGCCAAGGAACTGAGCTCTCCTGCCATCAATCACCTGAAGACGGCGCTTAAATCGTGGCCAAACGGGCAGCAAAGGAACGGATGAAACGGAGCCATCCGAAGGTGGAAGTGGACGCGCTCCATTGCCGAGAACGACCGGTGCTTGGCCTGCTTGTTTCTCCTGAACCGTGGCTTGATGTTCTGGGGATTGGCAGATTATTTTTCAACGCAGTCATGATCTGCGGAAGCAGGATTCTCTCAATCCGCGCCAAAAGACACTTTAGCATAGCTTGAATCAATTGTTCTATCCATGGGAAGGTATAATTTTGTTCACGCTCACGATGATAATAGCTTTGCTGCGTTAAGGGAGCTTGATCAATGCTGGACATATATCCGGCACTCCACGGAACCGTGCCACTGTGGAGGATAACCCCTGATTGATTAGTCTTGCCAAGTTATTCTGCTCCTTCAGCTCCCGCAAAATGACTCGTACACCACTCAGAATCTTCCGGGGGCATGTCCAGACGCGCCAAGCATCATAGCCGGTGTTCCTGAGCGGACACTAGTCGTGAATGGCACGGACAGTTCCACCGCACAGCCACGATGGACCCAGACTTTAGCTCTCTTGGCAACATCGCTGAAACGCCAAGTGCCGTTGGTGGAATTCAGCTCCCAGCATAATATCCACCTCTGGAAAACGTCTTTCCTCACGATGCTCCCTCCCTGCCATGCGAGTGGTGCGACCAGCTTCATCCGTACGGGGCTTGACCGGCATCTTGGCAGTCGCATCCAAAGAACCTGCAGCTTCACCTCGTCACGGTTGCTATGCGGATGAAGTCCACCTATGAAGGTATCCAGCCAAGCCTGGAGACAGTCCTGATGCTTGAAGTGATTTCAAACTGTCTTAAACCTCCAAATAATGCCGCCGACCCATCCATATAAAGGGAACAGGTAAGCCCTGAAAGATATCCCACATCAAGCCTCTCACTCGTCTTTCTTTCTCTCATCTCCAACTACCTTTCCATTCTCTTCTCTCTCCTAATCACAATGACCAACTTCAAGTGGATTGTTGCCGCTGCCGGCCTCCTGTCTGGACAGGTCCTGGCTGCCCCTACTGCCACTTCTACCCATGCCAAGCGCGCAACCGTCAGCGACGTAAGTACCTTCATTCGAAGAACTTCACAGAAATTGACCTTTGCAGGCTGCGTTCGGCTATGCTAGCATGAACGGCGGCACCACCGGTGGTGCCGGCGGTACTACCACTACCGTCTCGTCCTACGCTGCCTTCACCTCTGCTGTCTCCGGCGATGACGCCAAGGTCGTCTACGTCGACGGCACCATCAAGGAGACTGCCGACCAGGTTAAGATCGGCAGCAACACCTCCATCATTGGCAAGGACGCCAACGCCATCCTCGAGGGATTCGGAGTGTACGCATCCTTTCCGAACTTACAGCTAAACCTGACTAACACCCGACAGTCTCGTCAAGGAGAAGGAGAACGTTATCATTCGCAACCTCGGAGTCACCAAGGTCCTTGCTGACAACGGCGATGCCATTGGTGTCCGTACGTGATACCCGCCCTTTCCTCAATGTATGATAAGCTAATTCAAGCAGAGTACTCCAACAACGTCTGGATCGACCACTGCGATGTCTCCTCCGACCGTGACCACGACAAGGACTACTATGACGGTCTGATTGATGTACGCAACCCACAATCACACCAATCCCCAAACCATTTCACTAACAAGTAACCAGATCACCCACGGCTCCGACTACGTCACCGTCTCCAACACCTTCCTCCACGACCACTGGAAGGCCTCCCTGGTCGGCCACTCCGACAGCAACGAAGACGAGGACAGCGGCCACCTGACCGTGACCTATGCCAACAACTACTGGTACAACATCAACTCCCGCGGTCCCTCTTTCCGCTTCGGTACCGGCCACATCTACAACAGCTACTACCTTGACGTGAGCGACGGCATCAACACCCGTGACGGCGCCCAGCTGCTCGTCGAATCCAACCAGTTCGTCGACTCCAAGAAGGCCCTCTACTCCACCGACGATGGCTACGCCGTCTCCAACGACAACGACTTCGGTGATGCCACGAGCGATGCCGAGGAGGGCACCCTGACTTCCATGCCTTACGACTACACCCTTCTTGGCTCCGCCAATGTCAAGGCTGCTGTTGTCGGCACTGCCGGTCAGACTCTTACCTTCTAAGCGTGCCGCGATGCGCATGGGTATTAGTGCAGTAGGCTGAGGTTGACTATACCTTTGTCACTCTTTCTTTTACCTTAGTACCTGCAGGACAGAAATTTAGGCCCTAGCTTGTGAAGTACTCTAGGGTCGGTATATAGTTATTGCTTGAATTTGATTTAATTGAGGCAACAATCGTACTTATTGTAAGCCGGTGCACATAATTCACAACTCGCATTACATACATGCACAGCATAAAGCGAGTGAGTGAGCATATCGGCAAATCCTCGGCCTCCTCCCTCCATTTAGACTAGTACTCCACATTCCACACAACCGTCCTATCCAGACCCACTCACCAACCAGCTTAATCCGTAGAGAATTCCTGATTGAGTTTGCGGTAGACACAGACATCCCATCTCCTCACTGACCCATTGATAGCGACCCATTTATCACGTTAACAACCAACGCTCTTGAGTGGGGGACCCCGGACCTCGCTCACATAGTGCCCTGAACTATGATCTTCCCCCCTGCTGCATCCCTACCACTACTGTCACTGCAATAAGAAGCAAGATTATAGTAAGCTGTGGTGGAGACAGCAATCGGAAACCAGTTTCCTGAAAGCTTGATTTCGCAATCTTCGGGAAACTTATCGATTGGATAGGGTTGATGCCTTGGAATTGTGCTTTCGGGGTGGTTTGGTCTTGATACCTGCATTTACATGTGTATGTGCTGGCGGTACTAGGATGGTGGTTGGGTTGAATAAGACCAAAAGCGAGATTAGTATCCTGATAGGGAACAAGGATCAGATATTCGCCACAATGATACCAAAATTTGGTCGACTGATGATGTGATCATGGTGTTGGACAGCGATGCAGTGCTTTTAATTAAATGCATATGCATGGACAAGGATACAAATATGCGATAGATAGTACCGGATAAGTATAGATCCACGACCAGGGAACTCCGATAAAGATACAGGAGAGGGATATTGTTCTATAGGTCATATTTCAATTATCTCTACTATCTACGATAGAAATGCAATCTAAAAGATGCATATATGCTACTGCACCTTCCCCACCCCCCTATCCACCCTAATCACACAAATAACCGGCCAAACCTGCAACACGACCGCCCCAACCATCAAACAACCCGCAAACACCTGGGCACGAACAAAGTCCGCCGTTTCCAAATTCACTAACGCTCCTGCAACGGGCGTGCCCACTAATGACCCGAACGAACTAATTCCCCACATCATGCCCATCCTCGTCCCGAGAAAGTCACTATCGGGACAGAATGCCTTGTGAGCGACGATGGACGTCGGCGCTGTGACTAGCACCCCGCTCACGAAACCCCAGTAACAGGCCCAGACGATAAATCCGGCTGTGTTTGTCGTCGCGATCCAGGTGAACATGGCTACTGCTGCTGCCGCGACGAAGGCGATTAGGATGAAGATTGGTTTGATGTGGGTGCCCCCTGAGGCGAGGAGGTAGGGGACTGTCCGGCCGAAGGCGGAGGCGCCGTTTGTGATGGAGACGAGATAGAATGAGAGGCTGGTTGCGGTGTTCAGGGCGGAGCGGGCGTAAGTGGCAATGTAGAATATGGGGACGTAGTAAGCGAGCATGACGCAGGTCATGGAGAGGGAGAGGAGCATGAAGGGGAGGTGCGTAAGGGCTTTGAGTTCGATGAGGCTTCTAGTGCGGGTTTTCTTCCCAGGTCGACGGCAGAGGATAGCGCAGGTGATGAGGGCGAGGAACAGATTGATGAATGCGATGCAGCGGACGCTCCAGGCGAAGTTGATGATGGGTTGGACTTGGCGGAAGAGGATGGGGAAGATGACGCTGCCGACGCTGGAGCCGATAGAAGCGCAGCCGATGGCTATGGGTCGTTTGGTTGTAAAGTGCGAGGAGATAACGACCATCGCGGGGATGTAGGTGATGCCGCCGCCTATACCGACACAGAAGCCCTGCGCGAGGAGTACCTGATAGTATTCTGTTGCTAGACTGAGCATCATCATCCCGAACACGACTAGGAAGGATCCGGCGAGGACCAGGGGTCGGAGGTATCCTGCGTCCACTAGGGGGCCTGTCACCATGCCGACCATCACGATCAGGGTGGCTTGGATACTGCCGATCCAGGAGATCGTGGAGGGTGATTCGTCCGGGAGGAGAACCGTTTGGTAGAATTCTTGGAATGCGCCATAGCAGCTGATGAGGCCCCTGTTGGAGGTTAGACCTGCTTTGGCGTGACTGGTGATGGGGATGTAGGTACGTACCAAGAGTTGACAAAAACGCAGAAGCCCGCGAGTACGCTGAGCCAGCCTTCCAGCCCTCCGTCGGGCACTGGTTGCCTCTCTGGACTAGCCTCGGCTGGGGGTTGATGTTCGTTATGCTCGTTGGAACATTCGTCTGGAGCGCCTAGCCCCTCATTCTGTGTGCCCATGTCCGTTGTACTCTATGTCTATTCTATTCTGTGCATGTAGTCTACAAGGAGGAGATGAGACGTGAAAGGGATACTTGTCAGGAGTCACAAATGACCAAAATTTCGGGCATAAGCTCGGTTAGATGGTAGAATGGTTCCTACCCCAACTTTCGGTTCCCCGCAACGGCAAATGTGGAGTTGGAGTCGAGATCGGGGAACCCTTGGCGTCCCAGTACCTGGTGTGGCAAAGCCCTTTGCCGGGGGTCGCCGACGAGATAGGGTTGACTATATCCTGGCTTACGTACGTCGAATCCCGTGATACTACTCTAGTGGTCGTAGTTGCTAACCAGCGGAGAAGATGGATTGAACAACGCGAATTACATAGACATTGCGGATTTCAAGATCTATTAATGTCGACACACTAATCGCTCAACCAAAAACGGCATAACGCATCTAGCCAGCCATGTGAGAGAAATGTGTGTCCCAACAAAGGATATATAGCATGATGACATCAGAAATATTAGCAAATTGTTGCCAAACTGGGTGTGCATATCCATCCAGCTATTACAGTCTCAATGTTCTGGCCTCAATCTGCTGCATACGGAGGCGGGCATGATCGAACTAGCCGAGTTCATCACAACAAGGTTCGAATCAATCGGTCCGAATCAGGGTGATTCTCCCTTGACGCTATTACGGTGGGTGACATGAAAGCCTCATTCCTGCATTCATCTTTCAGTGCAAGGTCACAATACAAAACAATTTCTTTTCGCCAAACTCACCTCATTCTCACCCCCATCGCGCCCAGCAATATCCTCCAGGGTCAGGGCCGGCCTCGTACCGATCGCACGCAAACCCCGAGCACCTTGCTCGACGAGCCATTCGTACGTCACCAGGGAGGCATAAACACTATTCATATGGTTTTCATTATCCTCGTTCATGCCCTCCGCCGCAATACTCATTGTATCACAGGCCATCATCATGCACTGCAATAGGAACTCATCGTCTTCATCTGTATCAATTCCGCGATTGTTGGGCGGAAGCACAATCGTAATCCCTGCGTCTATATATAGCCGGTAATAAATGCCGGTTGCATTGAGGCAGAATAAAAAGGAATCTGCGACGTCCTGGTGAAGGTCCCCGGGCCCGAGAATCGTGATGTTGGCAGCTGCAGTGAATTGCACCGATGCAGCTATGAGAGATGGACAGTGTCGAAATCGCATGGTTGGCGGCGAATATGAATTGATAGTGGTGCGAAAATCTGTCAGAAACTAGGCCGGTCCTAATATCCTTCGATGACTTTTACAAGAGTGCTAAAGGGGATTGCAGCATGCTAAGATTCTTGACCCGACACATGAAGCAAGTATTCACTGTAAGATAACATAATATACAGATGTGACCACGCAGAGACATAAATACTCTACAGACTTGCCCAATTGTTCTTCGTTAGGTCTCGAGGCTGGTAGCGATGACATGTTTCGAGAGCGGAGGTTTGCATGGCCCCACCCACAGTTGGTACGAAAACGGGTCAACTGTCATATCTAGATGACTCACTCAAGGTAAATTCAAGTGGGCGCATGCTTACACGAACTACGGGCGCAGAAGCTAAGGAGAGGCTCGGTACGAACCTCTACCGCAAAGGGAGCAACGTCCACTAGTTGGCGAGTCGATGACTGGCAACTCTGGTCAATCTTCATCGCGGTGGATATTGAATTGCAATATATTTCTCGTGCGCAGTCTACAGGCTCTCGCCCATTATACACTAACTTCAACAGGAGCTATCGCCGATCAGTCAATGTACTAGCTCAAAGATAAGGCAACGATGGAGGCTCCCAGTACCCACATCCGCAGTGCTTAGAGCCATACCAAAGATCGTGACGCGTCATCCGACTAGGCAGCATCTGTACACCAAAATGCTTAGCCACGTCTAGCACATTCTAATGTAGTGATTACATTGGAATGCTAATACGGCTGACCAAGCTATAAGTCGCGAAATCATGTTCACGACTGTCGTCATGTTGGAAGACGTGCTATTCGCTTTGTCCCAGGGTCTTCCTATTTTCAATGGCTATAGACGGTGAAGATATATTAGGGATTATACCTGACAATTTTACTTTCACGATCAAATGGTGAGTTTGCCATTAATTCAAGGGTAGGCTCCATATAGTACGCCTCACATCCACAACCCGGCCTTATGATTTTCCTACCCAGTCTGTCAAGCGATACAAACAAACAAAGCATATATGAAACAATTGATAATTGGAAGTGAAGGTAATCTCTGCGGGCTTTAAGGAGGGCAACAAAGGCCTTAGAAGGCTTTAGTTGATAAAGGACCGCCAGAAAGACATCTTTTGGTTTAAGAATATGAGCGATCGTACAGTTGTAAGGTTCCTTGTGAGAATTCTTTGTGAGACTATTAACAAGACCCTCCTCTACAAAAAGCATATTTAAGATTTCTTTGACCATCGTTCAGAAGGCCTTATCGGGACTATGAATTCGAGCTCAAGCAGATATTTTTACGGGCATTTTCTGGTAGTTACCATCGCTATGGCGGGGAAGAGGTCTATTGGATAAGCAACTTGGTATCTAATCCGATATAAAGGAATGTTCGTCGGGGATCCAAGTTCGAATATCTTTTCAAGGCAGGCACAACCCACTTGATTGGGGATCGCTCTCTACCTCAAAGAAACGTCAATCCTGCCCGCCCTCTTTGTCGGTCGGCTTTAAAGAACCATGTCTTCATCGACCTTCATTTGAACTTGTACTTGCCATGGATGATCTATTCTTCGGAGAATACCATTTTTAACTATGTCAACAAGATCTTTCAAGTACAGGTTCTCTCCAAGATACTACATCAGACATACGTTCTACAAGCAATGAAACCCATTAGGTTGGACGGCCTGTGCTTTTCGCTAAAGGCAGCACCCAGAATACTGGCATGGTCCGTATATCAAGAAGCAAGTTGGCTTACCATCAGTCAGTTTCTTTGACGACTCGCCAGTCAGATAGTACCTAGCGCATACCAAGCGATAGAAATCTACCTACTTAATATGTATTTATATGACTGAATAGACACCTCATTTCCTTCACAACAAACACTATCATACTACATCTTACTATCCCCATCCCATACATCAGGTCAACAATCGACTTCGTTCAAAATGCTCGGCGAACTACCTGGCGATGTGTTGCAGTGCATCGCAGACTGGCTAGAAGGCGGAGATCTGAGCCGTCTAGCGAGAACAAGCACTCATCTCTATCGATACATCAACCCCTTCCTGTATCACTGGGACATGCATCATCCTTACCCACAGGCATTAATCTGGGCTGCAAGCAATGCACAAGAGGTAACAGCTGGAATGTCACTATCAAAATTACACACGCCAGAATCATTCAAAGCTGCGCAATGTGCTTTAACGAAAGCAGCTGGGTTAGGGCATGAGGGTATCGTAAGACTGATCCTTTCCACGAAGGGCATCAAGCCTGACGCTGGAGGAATATGGACCGCCACACGAATTTGGAGCGCCCCACTCTACCGCGCAGCAGCGAAAGGGCATGAAGGGGTAGTGAGAATGCTACTCGACTTGGAGGACGTCAACCCCGACCAGGAAGGTGCATGGAATGAAACACCGTTGTGCGTGGCAGCAGGATCCGGGCACCTAGATGTAGTCAAGTTGCTTCTTGCTACCAAGCGAGTAAATCCGAATTATCAAGGCTTTCATGAAAAGACCCCGATACTCAAAGCAGCAGCAGGAAACCATCGGGAGGTGGTGATGTTACTACTTGCGACTGAAGGGGTTGATCCTCATTTACGGGATAGATGTGGCGTATCTATCCTGTCATTGGCGGCACACCATGGCCATGAAGAGGTGGTTAGAATTCTGCTTGCTACACAAGGCGTCCATCCAGATTTAAGAGATTTATACAACGTGAGTCCATTGGCTGAAGCGGCACGTGCTGGAGAGGAAAAAATAGTCACCATGCTGCTCAACACAGGAAGGGTGGACCCTAACTCTTCCTCCAGTACTGGAGAGACCCCACTTTATCGAGCGGCAAAGCGTGGTGATGCGTCAATCGTCAAGTTACTTATTACTGCAGGTGCAGACATTCATATGGAAAATGATTATGGATCAACACCACTCCTATGCGCTGCTGGATCCGGAGATTTGGAAACCGTTGAAGCGCTTATAGCCGCAGGTGCGGATATTAACACCCGGGATAGCCATGAAGATACAGCACTCATGTACGCTGCGGAATCTGGGAACGTGGAAGTTGTTAAAGCGCTTCTCGCTGCAGGTGCAGAATTCCATATCCGCAATGTAGAAGGAGCAACGCCACTTTTCTGCGCTGTACGGGGAAGAAAATCGGAAATGGTCAAGTTTCTTATTTCTGCGGGTGCAGATGTTAACATCCTGTTTCGGTTTGGGAGAACAGCCCTCACTATGGCTTGTGATGGTCTATATCATGCGGGGACAGACGTGGAGATAGTTGAAGCGCTTATTGCCGCAGGAGCAGCACTTGACACACAAGACCAGAGATATGGAAAGACGGCCCTTGCAATCGCGACTGTGTGCGGGACCTTGGAGGTGGTGAACATGCTACTTTCTGCAGGCGCCACGCCTGACATTGCGGACAATGCAGGAGACACTCCTCTGTTAAAGGCGTCAGGAATGGGTGATTCGAAAATGGTAAAGCTTCTACTCAAAGGAGGAGCAAATCCAAGCATTCCTGATGGTAATGCACGAACACCTCTCCACAACATAGCATGGAGGCGTTACATGGACCAGGTCGAACTGTTCAAAGTCCTTCTTGATGCAGGTGCGAATATCGATGTGCAAAGCAGGGATGGTTCGACGCCGTTAGCGATGGCAATGGGACACTGTAGTCCGGAGGCGGTGAATCTTTTACTTTCAGCGGGGGCAGACCCAAACCGTGGGCATTATAATGGGCTTCCACCCCTACCATGTGCAGCGGTTCGTGGCGACGTGGAGATTGTGAGAATACTTCTTGCCGCAGAAGGAATCAATCCGTATTTGCAGGATATGAATGGGAAGTCAGCGCTGGCGCTAGCCCAAGGAAAAGGTCACACAGCTGTGGCCGAGCTTATAAGGCAGCACATTGAGCGTATGGAGCATGCCCCTTGAAGCTGCTATTGATTATTCTGATTAGTGTTCTTGTTGGATACCTACTCTGAGTAGATAAATATGGAGTTACTCTTTTGTTGAATTCCCTCGTAAGTAAAACCACGGAAGGTGTTGTAGTCCCCAGAATATGATGCCAAAATAGTACATTCACACGCTGATTCCCTACCTGGACCGATTACGGCGATGATCGCCCACATTGTCCCCGCTTCATCCCTTAAAAGCGGAAATTGCTGGCTGCTCAACCTTAACCCCAGCGCAGTTTCTGGCCTAAGATCAGCCGAGAAATCCCCGATATAACTTACTAGTGAGCTTATAAACCTCCATGTCCCCCACACTTCAACTAGTAACATAGCATTACTTTCGCCATGGCCACCTTCCCAATGGCCCACAATATGTCCGTCACCGGCGTGCAGCCCGAGTTCTCCCAAGCCACCACAGGATTCGAATACTACGATAGTCGATTCCTGAACATCACAGGCAATGCCCCAAAATTAGAAGTTCTTCTGGAGAACAATGACTTCCCGTTCGCCCATGAAGCAAGTGTCTTCATCCCATCCACAGACGAACTGTTCATGACTAGCAACATCTTCACGGATCCCCTCACCAACCAGTCAACAATCAAGATCTCCAAAGTATCCCTTAGCAGGAACCCAGTAACATCAGAAATAATCAATACCACCATTCCTCTTCCAAATGGAGGTATCAATCACGACTCTGGAATCCTTTTCTGCGGCCAAGGCACACTCAACCAATCTGGGGGTCTATTCCAGATGTCTATTGACCCACCATATGAATCTGAGCTCTTAATCAGTGGTTTCTACGGTCGGAATTTCAATTCCCTGAATGATGTGGTTGTTCATAGCGATGGCTCTATCTGGTTCACTGATCCTACGTACGGATACGAGCAGGGCATCCGCCCTGCGCCGCAACTGCCGAACCAAGTTTATCGCTATGATCCGAGTACAGGGGATGTGCGCGTCGTTGCAGACGGATTTGGTCGTCCGAATGGCATTTCTTTCTCCCCTGACGAGAGAACAGTATACATCACTGATACGGCGTATACGGTTGGTGATGGGACGACGGATCCGACTAAGCCTTCCACTATGTATGTCATTTCCCCTTCCCCACTCT